TGGTAGAGACTATTACCATAGAAGAATTATCCGAAGGATGAAGAATGAGTGGATGTGAATAGCTTCCTCCAAACGTCATCGAGTCTCCTTCCTCTCGGCGAGCTTATTCACGGCGTTCGGGCTCCCGATTCACCACCATTTGTTCAGATCTAAGTTTTCTTTGAAAAAGTTGTTTAGGGTTTCAGCTGGAATTGAGCTTAAGAACACGATTCTCTGAAGAATTCGTGCTATGATTAGGGATTTAGATTGATTTCGACACCAGTAGTGGCTCCGAGCAGGATCAGATCCTGCTTTGATAGAATCTACAATGGTGAATTGGAGAGAGCATTTTGAGTTTCTAGAAAGACAATTTGGATACATACAGGATGTTCCTAAACGCCCTATGATTAAAGATAACGTAGCATTTCTTCTCGATCACGCCCACAGTATGTCTGGGTATCCTAGCAACAATTGGGTGGACCACCATTCCGCAGTACATCGTCATTGGAATAGAGAGAAGAGTACGTGTTACGTGATTTGGAGGAAGGAGACCCTGGCTCCGTATATGAGGGATACTATGAATGGTTCATGGTGAACACTGTTAGACTGATATCCAATCCCAAAAATTATGAACCTCAAGGGTACGAGACTTCTTCGAGCCGACTGAAATTATATGTGAGTTCATTCTATATTTTTTTTTTCTTATGTTTTCATTTTATTTTTTTTAATTTTTTTTAGAATTTTACTATCTTAATTAACGTTCCAATTTCTTTTCAGGGTGAAGTATTGAACAACATTCGTGTGAGTTCTGAGAAGTTTAGAGAAAAACGAGAAGATGAGAATCTCCTAGACGAAGAACTCGACAAGCATTTGGACGATATCATCAATCAAACACATGCTACTTTAACCCTGGGTGCAAATGATGAGATGGAGGTGGAGGATACCCAAATTCTGGTTGATGAAGATCTATCTTTGCCCTCACAACCTCCGCCGGGTAAAAAAATGAAACCGTGGTCGAGAGATAAGATTGGAGGAGGAAGAAAGAGGAAGGTCTCAATCCCCCCTCGGACATCGCAACAACAAACTAAAGGTCAACAAAATGAGGATCAAGCACATTCTTCTCGAAGCTCGCGCATCCAAGTCGAGACTCAATTTGAAGACATTGGTGGACCCGAGACTCAGTTTAACCTTGGTGGACCCGAGACTCAATTTGACCTTGGTGGACCAGAGACTCAGTTTGGTGGACAGTCGCAACCACAACCGGGAGTCAAATTTCTCACTATGGGGGAGTCCCAATCCCAATCCCAACCTGAGCCTCAGTTTGGTGGACAGTCGCAACCACAACAGAGTTCAATACTCACGTATCTTAAGAGGGGAGACAGGATCCGGCAGAGCCCAAATAAATTCACTCCAGATGTGCACAATAAAGGAAAAGGGAAAAAATGAGACCTTTGATGTATTTTGCACATTTAAAGTAGTTTTTGTATTGATTTTGGTATGAAACTTGATTTGTTTTGTTGTTAATCGAATGCCGTTTATTGTTTTGTTGCCATTAAATTTCTGTTTTCCAATGTTTCATTATTGTTGATGCTGTAAACAGGTTTAGGACTGGTTGAAAAACCAGTCTAATTTTTTTTTTCAGTTCTGACATAGACTCGGATTTGCAAAATCCGAACTCAGACTTTTTGTAAAGGATTCGGATTTCGTAAATCTAAGTATGTAGCCAACTGAGAGTTAGCATTTTGCAGAAAACAGAGGAGATTCGGATTACCGACATTCATTCGGATTACTGTGATCCGGGTTTTCCCAAATTTAATTTTTCAACACATATTTTTTTTCTATCTGGAAATTAATATTTTATTCGTAAATATGGATTTAGAAAATCCAGATTTAGATTAATTATTCTGTCATTAACTTAATATCGGATTTACGTAACACAAAGTCGGATTTCTATAATCCGAGTTTAGAGAGGTTCGGATTTCGGAAATCCGAGTTTTTCCCCCATTTGGATTTCCGAAATCCGGGACATATAAGTTTGTCCACAAAATTTTTAGAAGGTTTATTTTTGTCCAGGTATATATAAGGAAATATATTTAAGGAAAAAATTCGTGGAAGAAGATGATGTGGGGATGAGAAAATAATAGGATAGGGTTTTACTTATTGCATGCATTTCATATTAGAGCCTTCTAGTTAGGTTATTAACAAACTGACCCATAAACTTCAATGTTAGTAAATTGCAGCTTTAAATTTCTGTTTGAATGAGTTTAATATAAAATCTTTTAACTTATAATTTATGTAAAATATTTAAAATAGTAATGGCATTATGATGACATCATCCGATTTTTTATAGTGGTCAACCAGTTTGAATCGGTAACCAATGACTTGGCAAGAAGGTCGGTTCGTATTCCGGTCCATTTTTAAACACATAGGTTTTAAGCCATAAAAGTTCCCCAAACCTTATGGACCTAAAGTCAACATTCACATGAAAGTCTTTCATAGTATTTACTATAATAATCTCTAATTAAGCACTGGTTAATATGTCAATTTGGTTTGCCTCAAAAAATTTGATGATCTTTTTTATGATGCCCACTTTTTTTATGATGCCCACCTTTCCTCCAAATTATTATACCCTCCTTCCAAAGCGATTAATAGTTTTATTATGGTATAAAGTACAATTAATAAAATAATTATTTTGAAACAGGGAGAGTAATAAAATTTATGATTATTAAAACTTTGGCCATTACAAATACACATAGTTACCTCAAGACACAATTTGTAATTTTTCCAAAATTCGGGGGTAGGCCTAGAAAATCTCACTTACTTCTAATCTTCTTTTACTCAAAGTCAAATCATATACCATCTAATACCATGTAGGCCACGGTAATGAGAATATTCCCAGCAATTTGCCATTAGCGTTTATAGAAACTCTTATGTAACAAAAATTGAATTTATAAAATCAGACAATAGATTCTTTTGGGATTAGCAGTTTTAGGCTTTTAGAAAGAGTGATTTTGGTATCAGTCTTTGTACTATAATTCCACTGTGATGTGATAGCCAGTCTGGTATTATTGAGAACTCGATCTTTCACGAACATACCAAATACCTTGAATTGGATTGCCATTTGATACGACATCATTATCCTCAAAAATTTTTGATATCTTTATATATTATATCCAAAGAGTAGCTTGCGGGCTTATTCACAAAGTCTCTTCCTCATCCACTCTTCATCTCATTGCTGTCTAATTTTGCAATGAAAGACTTCCTTCATGCTCCAGCTTGCGGAGGGACATAGAAGATATTGAACAAAATTCCATTTGTAAATAGTTTTGATACTTGTACATAATTTGGGGTCAATTTTGTATATTATGTAAAGTATAGGGTTTAGTTGTAGTTGTACAGATTCGGTTAGGTTTTATCGATTACCAGTTAATACGAGTATATATATATATATATATATATATATATATATATATAATTAATTTGTTATCAAGCAACATAATCAGATACAGTACTAAATAATCCCTTTACCTCGAAAACACATAAATGAATAACCAGACCTTATCTTGTAGAGAATTTATCATTTTTGTTTTGTCCAATTTGATTTTTAACTATTGCATTATTTGCATCTAACAAACTTAGGAGTTAAACTTTTATTTGTCTTTGGTCATCTTCGTGGAACTTACTCTATACTTTTTACAAGTTCTCAAGCGTATACGATGTGATTTAAATACAGCTGTCGGCGATAATAATTTTTTTAAGGGAATCTTTATTTATATTTGTAAAATAGTATTTCTTTCGTTGTAGAAAAATAATTTATTTTAATGAACTAAACCGTCATAAAAAGAGTATCGATTATTTTATTATTTTTTTTGAGACGGGAAAGAGTACATTCAAAACGTAAAAATATGTATCAAAAATTAATAATTACAGTAATTCAATATTTAGAATCATTAATGAACCATTGAGTTGGGACACTATAGAACGTATCGTTGTTGTTTTTTTTTTTTTTTTTTCCCCTTCTTGAGTCTTATTTACTTAATTAAGTAATCTGGTTTGGAGTTTGGACGTGGACGTAGAACGTGTGAGTCGTGACCGAGTGGAGAAACCTCGATATTTAGGTCCTACCTTCTGAAAAGGTTGTTGCATTTCTTTTTAATTTATTTTATTTCTTTTTTGATTCATTTGTTACATTTCTTGAAGATCGGTTTGAGTGAACAATTGAACCTAATTGAACGTTTCTCCGAAAATGAACGACACGCTCGAAGTTGGACTCCCGTCTTCTGTGGATGGTCACAGTTTGTAATTTTTCAAAATGCGGGGGTGGGCCTAGAAAATGACCTCCCCTCCAATCTCCTTCAATCAAAGTCAAATCATACAGCATGTAGGCCATGCATGGTGAGTCGGCGACGTGAATATTTATTCCCATAAAATTTGCAAGTGGCCTTTATAAAAACTCTTATAGCTGACGATAATTGAATCTACAAATCAGACAAGAGATTCTTTTGGGAGCTAGCAGTTTAGCACCGACCAATAGTAGTAGTAGTTTTTTTTTTTGGAAACGGAAAGTAGTAGTAACTCGCACCAGTTCTTCACTTCTTCAATTCTTCCTCAGTCTTGATTAACTGGAACTGGAAGTATGAGCTTTGGTTCTGAAAATGCGTTTCTGAATCTCAGCCCTCCTGAGCCTTTTGAAATCTTTGAGGGTACTCAGGATGGGAAATGTTCAGCTCGTGATTTCCTGATTCGAATTCCAGGGCCTGGAGTATGCCATGAATTCCCCCGGAAGAAGGAGAGCCATCAGTTGACGGTTTTTTGGTACCCAATTGAGACATGTGAACTTAACAAAAACTGCGGAGGGTATTTGATCTTCTTAACTTGGTAGAAAGATGTGGTTTTTTTTTTTTTTCTTTTTTTTTTCCCAATGAAAAATAATCTTTTATTGACATTATACATATTGGGCTATTCATAGATTTTCAGGTTCTGGCGCCTGTAATCCATGACTGAAGTCAATTCAAGATACTATGAGGTCGTTACTTCTGTCGGCGAAATGTTCAAGACAGGATGTTTTGGTTCAGTTTTGGGCACCAGTAACTACCCCTGGTGGAAAGAAGATGCTCACAGTATCTCAGCAACCATTCGGATTTGGTGAACTGTGTAATGGACTCTGTAGATACCGATGCTTTTGCATTGATCAACAAGGCTTTGTGGGAGAAGATATCAGTCAAATTGGTCCTCCCGCCAGGGTTTTCCAACAAGGATCCCCTGAATTTTGTCCCAACATAGAGCTTTACACTCCACAGGAGTTTCCGATGGGGCGATATGCGAGATCCTGCGGCATTGTAAGTTACAGGGCTTTGCCACTCTTCCAAATTAGAAATCATGATGGCAGCCAGCAGCAGCACAACTGTGTTGGAGTACTGGAGATTCTTTCATTAGGTACACTTGTTAATTTGGAATTGGAATCACTCCAGGTTTGTCTTCCTCCCTACCCTGCTACATACAACTTTCCATAAACAAGCATTCCAGCTCATGACCTCTTTTGATGTCTTTCTGTTTTTCAGGATTTAGGCCTTTCTCGTCCTGATTCACATTCGGACGAATGCATAAGAGTAAGTTGCTTAGCTACTGAAGCTAATATTCCCTCTGATCCTAATTATAAGGGAAAAAATTTGACACAGTTCAAATTCGTGACTTACAAATAAGAAGATAACTCTTCCTTTTGAGCAAAATGTTGCTTTTTTTTTTCTTTTTTTTTTTTCTCTAATCGGTGATTGTCATTTGTTTTCATTCTAGAACCGACAATCAAACTTGGACCTGAAGAATGTGTGGGAATTTATGATGACAGAGCACAATCTACCTCTTATTCAGGTCTGGGTGCCCTGTATGTGTGATTCTCCAGGGGATAATAATAACACCTCATCAAGTAGGAATAGGATACTCTGCCAATTCACATATAGCAACTGGTGTAATATGAAGTATTCTAGGATGTTTGATCAACTGACCTGTGAAGCCGAGACATGTTTTGTCACGAATGGTAAGAGTTGGGTTGGCAAAGCATGTTCGCTCAACAAAATTTGCTCTTTCAAAGACACAAACCTATTCAGCATATCCGATTACCCTCTTGTTCATTTGATTCGTTCATCCGATGTCCGCGCTTGTTTGGCGATTCCCTTGAAATTACTTCATCCCCAGCTCCCCCCTTTCATAATAGAAGTCTTTCTTCCTCCACCTGACCAAAACTGGGATGGCAATTTGGTTGCATTGTTGACGTTGTTATTGTCCACAGTGGCTAGAGGACTAATTGTGCTGGAATGGACGCCAGTTGAGGGATCATGTGTGAAATTCGCTGGCGCGGATGGTGATAATTATTTCTACTTCGATATAATCCAAGATGGAGATAGGGCCTTAGAAAATGGAAGAGAAGGCCTTCAATTTCAGCAGTCTGAAACGTTTGGTGCAGTGAAACGTTTGGGAGAGTTTTCACCAATGGTGAGGTTGGAATCAATTGGGATGCTGACCCACAACTTCCAGAAGCTACAGAGAATCTTAGTCGAGGCAATCAAATCTCAAGCATTGAAGCACCACAATTAGCCTTAGGCATAGAAAGTGAGAGAGAAAAGCAGCAGTATTCTTCATCACTGGAACACTGGAATGCACAAAATATGTGCGACACTTCGGGGGAGATTTTCTCAAATGGTCAAGTTGATGAAGTAGCTGCTGAAAACTTTGGTGTGGATCAACCTCAATTCAATGAAGAAGCCTCAGTGCTAGCCAGTGATCAACCAAAAGCCAACGCCGAAGCTCAGTCGTTTGGGGATGATGGAACAGCTGAGGAAGCTGAAATCACACACGACGCTCTCAAACAACTATTTGGCAGAAATATTGTAGATGTGGCAAATCACTTTGGAGGTAATGATCATCAAAATTAACTTATGTGCCTTTACATGTCTTTGTGCTTATATAGTTCAAAAGAATCTTACTTATTTTAGTACAAATGTTATGGTGTCATGTTTTCATATGCAGTTTGTGTATCTACTGTGAAACGCAAATGTCGAAAGTATGGTATAGACAGGTGGCCACCCCACAAGAGAAACAAAGGCAATTGCATCAAATCAAATCCAATGCTGCCAAATAATACCGAGCCTGCAAATCCTTTACCAAGTCCAAAGGGTAAAAGTATTACTGCAACTGAAGATGAGGAGATCGATGGAATTTACAGCATGATAGTAAAGGCAACCTACAGAAAAGATAATGCCATGTTTCCTTTGTGCAGTGACTCGGGGATTGAAGAATTGCGCAAAGAATTGTACAAAAGGTTTGAGTTAAAAGATGAGAAGATCAAAATACGGTACAAGGACGAGACGGGTGATTTGATCATCATTTCCTGCAACGAAGATCTGGAATTTCGCATGAGAACATTAAGAAAATCCGGGATTACTGTAATGAGGCTATCAGCTTCTCTAGTGACAAAGTGATGTTTTCTAGGTAGTTTTTTCATGCATTTATTTTGAGTTCCTACGTTGGTAAAATTCGATGATTCCACTAAGTAGACTTCTCCTCTAAAACATACTCTCTCCATTCCTTTTCAATAAGCCCATTTAGACAAACACAAAGATTATTATCCAGTTTGAGATTTCACTTTTAGTACAATTTGAACTAAAAATGAAAACTCAAACTGGACAATAATTATGGAACGAGGGAGTAGTTAATATTGTTTAGTTAGTTAAATTTATGTGAAACTTCCCATTGTACCCCGCCGTAGAAAATGTGGCTTTCAAAGTCAAGTCCAACACTCCAACTAATTATAAGGCACCACCATCTTTAATTGAAATGTTTTCTGCCAAACTATTATAAAAAAAAATTATTAATTAACCAGGCGTTCAAACTTCAAACTGCCCATCAAAATTAGAACTACTCCTATTTTTTTATACTCTCATTAAAATTTGAAAGTTGGCGCTTTTTTTTTCACACCAATTTATTTAAAGGTTGAAACCCCATTTTGGAGCTGCTTTTTACCTATCGAAAATTTAAATTTGGAGTCATTTTTTCCATGCCAATTTGGTTTTGATTTCAATTTACCCTCCAATTCTACTTTTAAATTTTTAAGTTCAATTCTATAAATAGAGACATGCTTAAGTTAATCTAATCCCAAGCCAAATGAAAAATGAGTAATTTTGATAAACTCATATCTTCATCATTACATCCAAGGAGTAACATCCAAAATAAGAAAAAGAGCCACAGAACCACTAGAGTTCTTATTGCAATGGGAAAAAATTCGTAAATATTCAGAAAATTTGATTCAATGAAACCAAGGTACATAAATTTTCACCATTCTTGTAACGAAATCGTCACCTATAGAATCATGATCTTCCAAGGGAGGAGCATTCAAATCAAACAATGTCTTCTCATGTGTAGAATTCGGGCTCCGCATTGATTTTTTCGGTGTGGAATCAAAATTACGCAATGGCTCTTTGGGTGGAGCATTTAAATCAATCCATGGCTTTTCAATGGGGGAGGGGGGGGTGGACGATATGGAGCTTTTAAATCAACCGATGGCTCTTCCATAGGTACATTATTCAAGTCAAAATATTAGTGGCATATGAGTGGTCAAATGTATTAATTGTTCTTTGACTAATACTTGGATAGACTAATCATTATTGAGGGTATAATGGAGATTTCATATAATATAATTGGTTTATTGTCTGAAATAGGACTAAGTTTTGAAATATCTAAAACAAAGAAGTAAGCCTATTGAAAAGGAATAGAGAAAGTAATTAATGCTGCATATGATATCATTTTAAGACGGAGGGAATAATTAACATCCAAAAATTAAGTTTGATGGAAGCTCGGATAGGCAGTAGTGGAACGAGGAAAATGAAAACTTGAGTAGAAGAGATTAAAAGAGCAGATTCTGCGTTTGCTATAAACGTCGAGTCCCTGAGAGCTCATCTTTTTTTCATTCCTTTCAGAACTAAAATACCCAAAAATAATCGATGAGGCCAAAAAAGTTTAGCCAAGAGGAACTCTACGTACACCAGTAGCAAATGAAGTCCATTACGTAATTCCAGTGTTGCAAATATAACTTTACATATAAGCAACAAAAACAAAAACTATTTCCATGGTACAACTGGTAACTGCTCTGTTGTAGTCAGCAAACAAAACTGCCATCTGGGATCAGTATTACAAGGAAAGTTATGTACATCAGGTTGAACCGCCGCTACAAATCTTTTCCCTCACAGAACCAATGTCACCTTTTTGAGTTTTGCAAATTTCTCAGTTTAGGATCTCACAGATCATACACCGTTCAGGTTCTCTGTGAATTCTGGACCAGCTTCTGCAGCCGAGAAATTGTTAAATCTGTCCCGCCAAATCCATCCAACACAGAATTTGCCGACGGGAACTCAGCTCTAGCTGTAAAGCTTTGCGTATGTAGATCGGGGAAGTGAAATGTAAGGGTTAGAAATGCTTTTACAACCACTAGAGTGCCCAACAAAATAGCGACCATGCTTTAAGGCTAGTGGGTACGCTGAAATGTACGATTCCCATAATATAATCAAGTCCCGAAAAAAATTACCTGCTTCGGAGGACAACACAAGGCATGCTTATACGCTCAGCACCTGAAACTCCTAATTGGCCTCCTGCAACTAGCACACATTTGTAGAGAGGAACCTCTGCAAATTCAGCACCCGCACGTAGAGTTGCCACAACATATTGCAAGCTATATGAGGAGCAGATAATAATTGAATTAAACCAGGATCAAGAGATAAACGGATTGAGATGACTTTTTCTTCAACAAACTTCAGGAGCTAATAGCTACAACAAATTCTGGCTACTCTATTAACTTGACAATCGCAAGAAGTGAATATCCAAGAGACAGAACTTTTCAAGTCTTGATTCATACCAGTAGCACTAACCTTTCACTTGAGCTAGTATCAATATCCACTCTCAACTTTAGCATAGAAGCAACCTCTTCTGCAATTCTTTGTTTCTCAGCAGAAGCTGGAAAACCAATGTAACAGCCTCATCCTTCCGGACAAACATATGAGATTAGATTGATAGAAATTTACTACCTTATTACCTGCTTTAGCCACTTCCTTGGCTAACTGCTCATCCAGACTAGAGGATACTCCTTTCCCGAGAACAAGTTGTCCATACATGCTTTTCTCCACCTCAGTTTTACCAATGACTTTTATCTTTGACATGCGATCATCTCCAAGTTTTTCGATAACAGACCTGAAATACATTCCAAGAAAAGTACTGAGAAAGTCTCTCTGCAACTTAACATGTATCACTACCAGCGGAAGATGGGAACCTCCATTTAAAGATGCTTACAGATAAGAGTGAATAGACAAAACTTGGCAGAATAAATATTCATACTTCTAGGATGTTAAAATTAATTCAAATCATCAAAGTACTGCCATGCAATCACAAAGGACAGGCTTTCAGATAAGGGAAAAAGACATGAATAAGACCGTGACATATTTACAGAAAATCTTGACATGAATCCTGACATTAGTTATTGAAAGATCCCACACTAAGTTGGATTTCAATTTTTTGTCAGACCTCATTGCGATTTGTTCTCTCAAAATCAGAACAAAAACTTATAAAACTCATAAAGTAAAACAACTCCATGGCGCCAAATGCTGTAAGAAACTTCCAGAAAACGTGAATGGGAAATTAACAACTAACCTTGCTACTTGTTCCCCCATTTTACAATAAGCAGACAATATAACCACAGGGACCCCTTCTTTACATGCATCATCGATGAAGCTGCAAGAAATGATAAAAATAGTAAAAAAAATACCACTTCCAGGAAAAATGATACTCTAAATATACTGATCATGTTCAATCAAAATGCATGTAATGTAATACTCCCTCCGTCCCAAAATTATTATCCAGTTTGGATTGTCATTTCTAGTTCAAATTGAACTAAAACTGATAATGCAAACTGGACAATAATTTTGGGACGGAGGGACTACATATTTGCTGATCACCCTAAGTCAATACAGTTATTGGTGTCTACAAAGAAACCACCAATATTCACATAAACCAAATAAGAATTTCTCCAATCATAGAGCACTGACGACAAGTCATGTTCAAAAAATAGGAAGCTAGAAGGAGACCAAATACTTTGATTAGATTCAAATTGACAAGAGTTTAGACTTGTACAACTTCATTTTACTTCTAATGTTATTAAATATTCTCCAACTCTTCTCCTATGATAAAAATCTATAGTGATTACCTAGGTAAGTGCATAACTGTATTATTAGGTATGGTCTCTTTGCAAGTTCTAATGGTGCTTCAGAGTTCAGACCCCAAAAATAGGGGTCTAGATGATCCACAAGTAGTTGAGAACATCATTCCAAACCATACAAGGAAGCCTACTTGATGCTTAAAAAGTTTGAGAGAAAACGAGCCAATCTTCTGAGAACCAGAACAACTTTACCCTTGTAAGTACCATACGGCACCACAAACGTCTGAGCTGTATGCAATGAAAGTGATTGGGAGGCAAATAATTCTCAAGTAATTACACATTAGGCATTATGTGTAGAACCTTGGCTTTACTAATCCTGACACAAGGATACTATACTCTTATATAAGCTCTGGAAAATAAGTTTTCATTTTATTCAACCATTAACACCTACAAGACTTGAAGTTTGGGAAGAGAATGGAACAAATGGTTCAAGAACATTTCTGCAGAACGAGCATTGCAAGACAAAATCATATCATATTCTCAGCAAAGAAGGGTGGGATAAAACTATAACTAGTTCGCAAGGTACATCTCTCACTTTAGATGTCTTCAATTGTAATTTCACATGGAAAACCTCCTATGTCCCTTAGGCCAGCCAAAACACATCAGTCTTACAATTCATTCAAATGATCTACTATCTATAGTAACCAAACAGAATTAGAAGCATAACAACTAGAAATCAATCTAACTACTTATTGCTAGTTCGGATGCCAAAGATTTGTTACCCTCTTAGACACCCCAACTGACAAGGATCCTTAAGCATTAGATTTGTTTTCCCAGGACAAATCATGTGCATAACTAATATTACATTTTCACACAGAAGATAACATGCTTAAGGATCCTAAAAAACATGAGAAAACTGTCACTGAAGCAGCTAGGAAGGATGCCAGACACAAAGTTGCAAAAATTATCTATAGTAAAGAAATAGTTAGCTACGAGTTTCTCTAGTAGAAAGGCATAGACATAATAATGTGATGCACATCACCTTAATCATCACAAGAATATATTTTATCAGTCGTGAGAATAAAGATGATTTATTAGATCCAAAAGAAATCAGAATGCAGGAGTTAAGCAACTCACTCCTCAACCCCTGGTCTCAATGACAAGGTCTTTGACATAACAAGTTCATTCAATGCATCTTTCTGCAACCATAAAATAAAAAATTTAGAAAGATAACTCATATAGTATCATTTAATCAATTTCGCGACTGGTAAAAAACAAATTTAAGCTCCTTCAACATATTGAAATGAGTAAAATTGCTTCTATGTAAGAGTCTAGAAAAGAAAAGGTAAGGAACCGTTCAATAACGGGATGCATTTAGGAATGGAAATGACAAGAAATACTATGCAGTCAAATCATCAGTTAATGACTTCAAACCCATTTCGCATCAAATGAAATAACATCGAAGAAAGAAAACGTAAGCTCCTCCTCTCTCCTTGTGCCCCTCTTCCAATCACAGAGCCCAACAGCAGAAAGCAAAATGGCAAGGCCAACGAATAGATGAACTGGTTTGGCCCAGGCCTAGTGAGTTAATACTAACTATATTGTTGAAACATTAATTATGTCATGGGACTAATATAGTAACATGCATCCCATTTATTCATGTCTCAAAGATGAAGCACAAACTTACCTTATGTCGCATGACATTTTTTACAAATGCTCCTTTCTCATTCGTGGGAACTGAAGTAGGCCAACCAATCTGAATAAAACATGAGTTGTATGAAAGCGTCAATTGATAGAAGGATAACATAAGACGTAATTATCTTTGACATTAAAGATGCTAACCCTATTAAAGTATATTGCCAGCATCTTTTCCTCATCACCAGCACTCCTCCTGAGAACAACAGTATGAAATAAATCAAGGTGGAAAATTACAATTTTTCCGAGTTGTTGGAGTTCCAGTAGAATGAAGTAACTATTACATGACACTGACATGAAGGAATCAAATCAAAAGCAAACCATTGATTTTAAACCAACAATAAAAAGATACATCTAAACAAGATGGTGAGATCTTCCTTTTTTGCCTGATATTAACTATTAGAAAGAAGATGAATAAAGGACAAATTCAACAAACAGATAAGTAAACATTGGAGCTTCAAAGTTTAATCAGCTGAATAAAGTTGGTATCCAACGACATTTAAATCTGACAATGAGGATGACCTTCAGAGGCCTTACATTCTGTTTAAGATTTGTGCAGGGAAATGTGATGTTAAACATTTTACAAAGTCACACTCCCTCCATTACCGAGGAACAAAGGGAGCTTCCTATTGTTTAATATTTAAACTACCAATTCGTTTACAAATTAGTATAGAGTTTGTTTACGATAAATAGACACTAAAAATCCTTCAATTTCATATTTGAAATCCTTTAATATGGTCTTGAAGTTCCATAAGTAGACAATCACCTGACCTTATGAATAAATGTACCTCAGCCCTATCGGAAACAAGATAAGAACTAAAACGAAATCTCATAAGAAAATGTAAAATAAAGTAAGAGCCAAAAGCGATTCAGATCAATGATCAAAGTCCCCTCTTCCAGGCATTACTGCCTCAGCTTATGCTTGCCATAATCAAGTATGGATCAATTCAGTAGGAAAAAAAAAATGCCCTTCTACTATCAAAAAATTTTGCATCACTTTTTAAGAAGATCTGATCTGAAAATCCTAGCACATCCATTGTAATTTCTAGAGCAATTTTATTCAACTCTCACCTGATAAGGTCTGAATAAACTGGTTCAGTCCAATTGGCACAGTCCAAGCCAAGCTTTCGAAATGCTAACAATATCAAACAAGAGCAAGTTAATTTGCAGTTCAACATAAGAAAATGTAAATAAACAAAACTTGTAATCCAAAGATCAGCATATATATGAATTCACAGTGTATTTCAGACCTAAGTTGAAGGCTTTCAGATTTCCAGAACGGTATATATCCATGAGTACCCTGAAACATTTGAATCGGTCAGACAAAGAACTCCTACAACTGAATGCCACTCGCACATACATAAACCACCCATATTACTAACCAACCATTCACCGATGGGTTTTGTTTTTATCATGATGATTCATTTCCTCAATTCAAACACATACGGCCATCAATTTGTGGTCTTTGAATTCCCAAAATGGAACAAATTATGCCCCAAAATTTTAACCAAATTGCGTCATTTCAGTATCATTGTCCCATACATGCGATTCAATTTTCAATGCCAAAAATGCAAAAAAAGGAATAATGAAGAAAAATTATGCAACGTCCCGAACACATACAAACAAATGAACAAAAAAATTATAACCATCATAACCGAAATGAACGCATACAAATGAACTATGCTACCATCCACAAACATTAACCGAAAGGGGAAAGAAAAATTCATTAAAACAGAATCAATAACACACAAAGCAGAAACATCATCACAAAAACCAAACAGAAAGAAAAAGGATAAAGAAAACCAATGTCATCACTCATCAGTAAGCCCCTGAATTTGAACAGGACAAAGCAAAGAGCTCGTTGAGGAAAAAGCAATTTTAGTAAATTACCCTTCAACTTCAAGAAGTACAGCAGCAGGAGGTTGTTCAGGTTGGCCGCCATCAACAATTCCGCCGCTCTGAGCGGATGAGGCCCTGATACTGGAACCACAAAACTGAGAATTTTTGGTGCGAAAACTGAAATTCAGTGACGGGAGAGAAAATGGGGAGTAAGAATAAAGATGGGTTCTGGGTATTTGGTAACAGTAAGCCTGCTGATTCCAAAGTCTCGTGTAATTGCCATTGTAGCATTTCTTGGGGATGAGTGTTTGCTGCTGCGCCACCCGAAACGAAGCAGATTCCATGGAAGAATACTTTCTTTTCTCTGCAAAATGCACAAAGGATTTTTCATTACATTTTGTTGTGAAATATACACGTGTGGGAAGAAAAGATTCTCACGCTTCCAACTCTTCTTCATCCTCTTGTTTTGGTCTACTAATTAAAGCTTACGGGGCAAAACTAAGGCTCGGTTTGTTTGGTTTTTTGGATGATTTTTTCAAATTATTTTAATAATAACTGTCTTATTTCAACATATTTTTTTATATTTTTAATACACTTTTTCATATTTACAATACAAAAAACACCAAAAAACACACACTAAAAAAACAAAACAAACATACCCTAAATATGTAATCCATAACCTCACTAAAGATCGATAATTTGGTCCAAATGTGAACAGAACCATCCATGTATCTCTTGTTTCATTTATTTATGTAATTATTTCTCTTTTTTAGAATGTAAGAAACTGTTTTGATAATGTAAAACCCGCTCAACCCTTTTTTTTTTTCAAAATAATAATAATAATAATAATAACAAAAAATTTATTACACTTGTAGGGAATCAACCAATTCTTATTGATATAATGAACTTAGTAACAAAGGATGAAACCTTACTCCACAAAAAGCGGCTATCAATGGCTGACAAGGAAGCAATCAAGATATAGAGCATCTCAAATCTTTTGGAGTCCATATAACTTATCAAAACATAGTTTTATAAACTAGTTGACAATGAAGGATAAGTTGCTAACAGGTAAGGCTCAAGAAAATGAGGTTGCTGTAGGAACCTGTGACACGCGAATTATGCTCAGGTCTACAATGGTGGTTTTGGAAGATTGCCATTAGAGTATTCTGGAAAGAAAAATCTTTCTTCTGTATATTGTATATTCCGTATCCATCAAGTATATAAATATATATATATATATATACATCTGTATTTATGACTAATCATTTCTACTGTCTAATAACTAACTGTACATTATAGTCTCTGAAGTTTTTATTATTTACAACTAAATCCCTCATCACACTAGAACTATACAAACTGTATTTCTATACAATTATGTACAATATATACGCTTTACATCCCCCCTCAAGCCGAGCATGGAGGAAATCTGACATGCCAAGCTTGGACAAGAGACCAGAAAAGAGAGAAAAGGGGAGAGATTTGGTAAACAAATAAGCTAATTGATCTTTTGAAGCCACAAAGAGAGGAACCGGAAAGCCTTGTATGTAAAGATGTCTAACAAGGTGGCAATCGATCTCTAAGTGTTTGGTCCTCTCATGAAACACCGGATTTTCAGTTATATAAATGGCTGACTGACTGTCACACCACAGAGGAATAGGAGAAGTAAGGCTAACACCAAAGTCTTAAAGAAGGTAAGAAACCTAAAGCAATTCTTTGGTAGTGTAGCTAAGGCATCTATACTCCGCCTCTGAGGATGAACAAGAAATGGTTGTCTGTTTCTTAGCCTTCCAGGAAATATGAGCATTACCAAGAAAGATACAAAAACTACTGACTGAACTTCTATGAAGAGGATTAGATCCACAGTCAGCATCACTAAAGGCCTCAACAGAAAACTCATTATCAACAGGATAAAACAAACCTTTGGAAGGAGTGTTCTTGAGATACCCGAGGACATGTTGCATAGCACTCCAATGATTAGCAAAGGGTTTATGTGCATGTTTACAGAGTTGTTAAATAACAAATGTAAGATCAAGACGGGTGAAGTTCATATACAAAAGCTGTCCAACCATTCTCCTATATTGAGAAGGATCTGCAACCTCAGGACCTTGCTGATCACTAAACTGATGACCTTTGGGCAAAGGAGTTGTTGCTGGTTTACATCCAAGCATGCCAATAGCTGTCAAAATATCCAAGATAAATTTCCTCTGATTCAAATAAAGTCCATCCTGAGACCTTGCAATCTCAATCCCTAGAAAAGTATTTGGCTGCTCCTGTTTGTATTACATCTTCATCTTCCCCTGTGATGAGAATATCATCAACATAAACCACCAATGCCAAGAAGAACCCTTGAATCTTACCAATGAAGAGACAAGGATCATGTTGAGATTGTTGAAATCCAAAAGACTAAAGTTGAGCTGTAAACTCTATATTTTATTATCTGGAGGCCTTTTTAAGTCCATAGAGGGACCTCTGTAACTTACAAACATGATTAGGAGAAACCTGATATCCTTCTGGAGGTGTCATATAAACCTCTTCTTCCAAAAATCCATGAAGAAAACCATCGTTTATGTCAAGTTGGTACAACGGCCAATTCTTTGAAGTAGCAAATGCTTATAATAATCTCACTGTGACTACTTTAGCAACAGGAGAAAAACTGTCGAAGTAATCTTCCCCTTCAATTTGAGTATTCCCTTTGGCCATCAATCTTGCCTTGTATCTCTCTATAGTGTCATCTGAATGATGTTTGATTTTATACACCCATTTGCTACCTATTGGTTGTTTTCCAGGTGGCAAAGGAGTTAAAGTCCATGTCTGATTAGTTATCAAAGCCTCCAACTCCATCTGCATAGCCTCTACCTATGCCGGATCTGTACTAGCTTGAGCATAAGACTTTGGTTCTTTAACACTGTCAATTTTTGTCAAAAAGGACAAATATTGTGGAGCAAAACCTGGTACATGATAGAAAGGAAATGTAGGTGGTGTATGAGGTGAACTGTGAGAAGGAATGGCATATGGTTGAGTTACACAATTTGCTTTCTGTACTTCAAAATCATTTATCCATTGTGGATTTTTTCTAATTCTGGAACCTTTTCTGTGTTGTGGTAGAGATGGAATAGGTGGATGATTAGAAGAAACTGGTGAGGATGAGGTTAAAGGAATGGAATGTGTATAAGAATCAAGTGGTTCAGGTATTTGCATAATTGGATTAGTGCCAATGACTGGTGTCATGGTAGAATAAGAGGAGTGTAAGAAATCAAAAGGTGTTAGATCATTGATGACTGAATGATCAGGAGACTCTGGTAGTTTAAAAGGAAATGTATTCTCATGGAAAACTACATCCCTTGAAACAAAAACCTTATATGAGGTTAGATCATACAGCATATAAGCTTTTTGACTTGCAGGATATCCAATGAAGATTGCTTTTATGGCTCTAGGGGCAAATTTGCCTTTATGTGGAAGGATATTTGTTGCACAACACAAACAACCAAAAGTTCTAAGCTGAGAAAGGTCGGATGATTTCTTGTGTAACATCTCATATGGAATTTTCCATTTCAATATGGAAGAAGGAATTCGGTTTATTAGGTATGTAGCTGTTAAAATGCTATCACCCCAAAACTTTTTGGATAATCCTGATTGAAATAACAAAGCTCTAGCAATTTGCAAAAGGTGTTTGTGTTTTCTTTCCGCAACACCATTTTGCTGAGGAGTGTATGGAGTGGATCTCTAATGTACAATGCCTAAGGAAGAAAACAAACTTAATTTTGAAGAAATAGGTAAGAACTGAAACTGACTGAGATTTAGTGTTCATCAAATAAGTCCAAGTGCATCTAGAAAAATCATCAACTATGGTAAGAAAGTAAGATGCACCAGTATAGGTTTGAATTTGATATGGTCCCCAAATATCAATATGAACAAGTTCAAAAGGATGAAAACTGTTTACAATATGGTCTGGAAACTTTAATCTTTGCTGTTTAGCTAAAGGACATACATCACAAGTCCTTGCTATTACATTATTCAGAGACAACAAGCCTAACTTGTTAAAGACTAGATTTGGAACATGACCTAATCTAAGATGCCACAAGTCAGGTTGTGTTGCTGATGCCAAGTTGGAATGATGAATGGTATGACTATGAAGGGGTGTGTAAGTATGAAGAGTATGTTGCTGTAGAAACACTATGATGGTTTGAGGCTGAAAAGAATGAGAATCCACCACATAAAGACTGTTCAGAACCCTGCTCACTGCTACTAACTTCTGAGTTTGTTGTACCTGTAAGACACAGAAGTTAGTAGAGAAGAAACAGTCTATATGTAAGGATGAAGCAAGTTTATTGACAGATAAAAGGTTGTATTTGAATTCTGGAATATGCAAGCAATTGTCAATTTTCAGTGTTGATGAAAGATTAATAGTGCCAAGATTTTGTACACTTTTAATGCTTCCATCAGGCAGAGAGACTGGAGTAAATTTGGTCACTGGTTTATGATGAAGGAAAAAGTCAAGGTGTGGACTCATTGTACCAGATGCACCAATGTCTAAAAACCACAGTCTATAGAACTAAACTCAGTAAGAACCAAAGCATTCAAAGAAGTGTAAGTACTCATACCTGCAAAATCATGGTTATGAGTAAAGTTGGCATGTTCTGTTTCAAGTGACATGAACTGCTTTCCTTTCATCAGTTTAGACATCTCTTGCTAAATGAGTCGTATCTGTTTCATCATAGAGCCATAGTCAACAGAATTATCAAAAGCACTTCCCATGTGTTTTTCTGATCCTGAAACCAAATTAGCTGAGATTCTAGCTTGTTGATTCCTTTTTGCCTCCATGTTGCCTTCCCACCAATCCAGATACCCAATGATTTTGAAACAAGATGACTTCAAGTGACCTGTCATGTTGCAATGATCACATTTTAGCAATTTTTTTGCAGCTTTATCCAATCTGATTGCATTCTCATTTCCTGGAAATGTCTGTCCTTCCTTCTTGGCAAAATTTCCATTGTTCCTTGTCCCAAAGTTAATTGTTCCCCATTGTTGTATGTCCTGAAAGGTGTTCTTAATGCCAACAGTGCATTTTGCTCAACAGGTGATTCATACATTTTATCCACAGTCTGCTGTTTTTCCACATTAAGAACCATGGTATAAGCTTTTTTGTCCTCAGGAAGAGGATCCATCATCAACACCTGATTTCTCAAAGCTGTGTATGACTCATTCAGGCCACTTAGAAACTGCACTAACTGATTTCTACTCTCCCTGCTGCCAATTTTAGTCAATCTACAAGTACAACCATTTAAGTACAAGCATCTGCTGGATTCACATGATTCAGTTCATCCCAAAGACGTTTCAAGTTAGA